AAACTCACCTTGCATCCCATACCTCCGTTGGAGAATTAGGGATTTTGTCCATACGCAGTGGGGGAAGTGGACCACCTACAGGTGGCTTCACTTATCTGCAGAACTGCCCAAATGTCTGTCAATGAGGAGAGAGGTGTCTTTAGAGACTCTCCCAAAATGCTGTGCTAGGTCTATCAGTCTTATGAGCTGATAGAGAGGCCCCGTTCCAGAATCTTCCCGGGGCACATAGTGTGTAGACACTTTGTACAGCCGCTGAAAAGTTCTATGCATTGTTATTTTCAGAGGTCCTGATTTGTCACATGATGCATACTAGAACTGATTCACACTGGGACTTATTCCAATTTTGTCTTGTAATTTGAAGCCAGTTGAGTTTTTCAGGACTTGGCTACTTTCCTAGGTCCTTGGCAAACTCAGAGGCCCCAGGATTACAGCCTGCCTTAACTAATGAAGTAGCCTTGGGATTGGGAAGCTCATAATGAATCCACATCAAGGAGCTTTAAGTCCCTCTCTCCTGGCCCTTCTAAGGGACAATATGGTCAGGCTATTGACATTTAAATATGTGAGTTTCCACTGGTGAACTCTGCTGATGAACAGGGACAGCACCCTGCTGATGGCCCAAGTGCTGTGCGACTGGCAGGCGATATTAGCTATTTCTTCATAGAACAAGGGGACCAGAGTAGCTTGATGATTTTTGAGTATTTTATTTTAGGACCAGGATCCATTTGTAAATAAAATCTTAGGAAGCACAGAGCAGACCTGGGGTGGACAGATTTCTTAGTCTAACAGATATGCAGGTGAATCTGTGAGGCTTTCTAGAGGAATGTTACCAAGTGCCTGTAAAAATGGGTAAGTTTTCTCCAGACAATGGCAGGTGCAAGCACCCACAGAATTCTTAAGCCCTTGAACAAATCTCAGCTCTAAAGAATTCTTGAACCCTTGAACAGATTGGTGGCCAGGCATGATGGTGCACACCATTAATCCCAGCACTCAGGAGGCAGAGGCAGGCTGACCAGTGTGGTCTTCATAGTGAGAGCCCTGTTTTTTAAAAATAAAGTAGGGGGTGGCATAGTAGTTTTCACACACCCCCCCTTTTTTTTTACAGTAACACATATGTTCTGAAACACAAGTTTTGTTGTCTTTATGTTGTAAAATAAGATTGTCCACATGAACAGGGGTAGAGATGTGTAAATATAAACCACAGACCTCGTTTTGGGAATCAATTATATTTCCAATAAAACACTTGAGCAATTTTATGATGGATTTTAATGGGGCTAACACCTCTTCTGAGAAACTAGTTACCTATACACTCAGTTTATGTCAACCTTGGGAACAAATGGCCCTTAAGGTCTTTCAACGAGTCTACTAATCCTTAAGTAGACTTCAGTTTTCTTTTGTGTAGGTTAATAATGTTGTCTCACTGTCCATTTCCTGTCAAATGCTTTATTATTAGACACTTGTTAGATGGGCTCTAGAAGCCAATAGTTCCCTTACTGCAACACTATAGTAAAACCTCTAACTCTGGGCCATAACCAAATTGTCCAGACCTGGCCTCCTTCCTTCCTCTTCTTCTCTCCCTCTGTCCCTCTTAAGCAACATGATGTGGTCTAATCTTTTGTTTGGTTTCATTTAATTTTCAGATTTTATTTCCTATTATTATTGCACACATGTGTGGTTGACTCTAAGGATGGAAGCACTCATGCAGTGTCCATGTGGAGGTCAGAGGACAACTTGCCTTTTCTCCTTCTACCATGGGTCCTGGCAGTGGACCACATCTTATCAAGTTTACTCAGGATTTTACCTGCTGAGCCAGCTCACCAGTCTTGTTTAATTAAAAAAAATTTATCTGTGGTGTGCGCGTGCGCGTGCGCGCAGGTGCCCAAGGGGACAGGGAAAGGGTGACAGACCCCATGGTGCCAGAGTTACAAGCCATTGAGAGGTACCCAACCTGGGTGCCCAGAATTGAACTGGGGTCCTCTGTAAGAGCAATAAGTGTTTTTAATCACACACACACACACACACACACACACACACACACACACACACACTCACTCTCTCTCTCTCTCTCTCTACATTTGAGCCATCTCTCCAGCTCCCTTGTTTTTTAAAATTTAATTGTGACCCACTAAATTAGTTTCTCCAGCCTTTAATAGTTTTGACTGTACAGTATTCCTGGTAGGTCAGTTTAGGAAGACAGAAATGCTGCTGTCCCTCATGAAATGAAACCAAAGAAGGAAACCAGGCAAGATTAAGGCACATTGTAGGAGATGAGAAACTGTCTTCCGATATTTAGAGAGCTGGATGGTGGCAGCATGTCTTTTAATCCCAGCATTCCAGAGGCAGAGGCAGGTGAATCTCTGAGTTTGAGGCCAGCCTAGTCTACAGAGTGAGTTCCAGGATAGCTAGGGCTACACAGAACCCTATCCCAGAAAACTAAAATAAACCAATAAACAAAAAACCCACAACACCATAAAATGCCACCACCACCATCACCACCAAATTAAAAAAAAAAAATTAAAGAGAGAGGGAGATTTAAAATTCAAAGAGAGAAGTGATCCCCAAACTTTAAAAATATGAGTGTAGGGGCTGGAGAGATGGCTCATTGGTTGAGTGGTGTCCTTACATGGGACCAGAATTTGGTTCCCGGCATCCATATCAGGCAGTTCACAACAACCTGAAATTCCAGTTCCAGGGAATCCCACTCTCTCTTCTGGCCTCCATGGGCATCAGTACACACATAGCATACACTCACAAAAACATACATACACATACATAAAAGTAAGTTTTATTAAAAAAATATGTATGTAATGCAAAGAAAATTTGAGCTAAAAATATTTAGTGTTCATAAACAAATCAGTAAGAAAAACTGGAAAAAAAAAAAAAAAGAGCAAAGGCTATGGACCGGCAATTTAGACAGGAAAGGGAGTGGGGGAGTCTGTGTGACGATGATGCTCAGTAGCAGACAGGAGAGCAGAGACTGGAATGACTAAAGCTGAGAAACGCAGAGGACCCCGTGAAGTTGAAACTGCAGACTTCTGAGAATGGATAACTGACTGGTGCTGGTATTCCGACGTCATGTTTAATACAATGGGTTCTTCAAATAGAAAATTGAAAAATTTCTGTTTTTTACTAAATTGTATTCCGCTGCCACTAAGGGAAGAGAACTGCAGCTGCCAGGGTGAAGTGTGGCTGGTTTCAGGGACTTCACAGGAAGTAGAAGGAGGCACTGTGAGGGCAGCAGCCAGGAAGCATCTCTGGTCCTCTAGAGCGAATGTGTCCTACAGCGCCCCCTGGTGGCACAGTAGCAAGGAGCCACAGGTAGAGAAGAAATTGGCTGGGGTTTGCAGCCAAGGGGTAAACTCTAACGGGTACAGCTAATAGCATTGATAATTAGCATTTATATTTAAGTTCCCATACTCTCCTAATCTTTTTCTACTTATCATAATGTAACTATTTCTCACAGAAAAAATGGTATTATTACCATCTACTTAAAGATCCAGGCAAGGTGGCACATACATATAATCCCAGCACTAGAGGGTGGAAACAGGAATACCAAAGTTCATGGGCTACAGAGTATGGCTCTGTTTTTAAAATGAAAGAGAGAGCAGGTCAGTGTAGCCACTGTGTCCATCTCTGAGACTGTGATATGTTCCATCCCTGGACTATAGCTACCATAAAGATTTGTTCACAATGTTACCTAGAAAGGAAACGGTAACATTAACCTTCAGCAAAATCTGTATTAAGTAATCAGAAGGAGGATTCCAGGCTGAGCGGAGTAACAGGCTTCCCTCTGGCCTGGAATAGCTGGAGAAAAGAACCTGAGCCGTGTGACTGCTCCAGCTCACTGCCCAGAGAGAGGTTTTGGTCTGTAGCATGGGAGAAGGAGCTGGGGTAGAGTCCTCTCACCATCCTGCGCTGAGGAGGGGGAGCCGAGTTCACATACTGAAAACAGGAGAGCTGCACAGAAAGATAACTCTAGAGATGGCACAGGTGCCCGCCAAGCACTCAGCTGGGTACTGACCACTGCATGTGTGAGGAGGGCAGGAAACTGCTAAAGCTCACACGCACTGAAAACAGGGCTTGTTCCCCTGAGTCGGGGCAGAAAACCTCAAATGGTGTCTCTTCACAGCAATGAAACCTTACTAAGACAAGGTAATCAGCAAGCATGCAGAGCTAATGTACTGTATACAGGTGGTAAAACAGACTGATCTGATGCTGTTACTGGCTGACATACTGTGTGACTTACTGTGGGAGAGACAAGCTGCTCCTGTTTCTGACACTTTGGTTTTCTGTTTTTTACAGTCATGCAATTCTTACCATTGATTACTGGTGCTAAGAGCTCAGGCAGGGGAAGCAGAGGTAAAGGCTAGTTAACACAGTACAGGTTGGGTCAAACCTGTACCGGCTTGGATACCTGTACTAGCCATTCTAGGTTGGGAGCAGTAGAAAGAATGGGGGAACAGGAATTCTGGAAAGTCTAGAAAAAGATGTGAGAAAAACACCTCGTTAATTGGATTCCTGGTTCTTCCCAAGGCCTGAGTAGTTTGGGGGAAGAGGATCCTGTCAATGCCAACCTTTAAAAATTTTAATTAAATTATTATGTATTGGTGAAAAGAGTGGGGAGGTCAGAGGACAGTTTTGGGGAGTTGGTTCCTTCCTTCAACTGTGTGAGTCCCTGGAATCAAACTCAGGTTGTCAGGCTGTGGCAGGCACCTTTATGCTCCAAGCCATCTTACCGGGCTTGTTCTTCCTTTCCCTTTTTTCTTTGTTTTATTTTTTTGAGCTAGGATCTTGCTTAGTAGCTTTGACTGGTCTGGCACTTATTATGTAGCCCTGGCTAGCCTGGAACTCATGGCAATCCTCCTGCATCAACCTCTCCTAGTCCTGGGATTATGGGTGTGCACCACAACACACAGTCATTTCTTTTCAATACAATAGGCAGTAAATATTGTAAACCATCCCCAGACAATATATAAAAAAAGATTATGAGAATAAGAAGTGACTCCTTTCAAGAATTTGCATTTATTTAGTTTTTCACACTAACCTGGCTGGTACAACTGAAGGTAAGCTGTACACAACTATTACCTCACATAATAAACTCCATTATTAGACGGTGCCATCAAAGGCTTTCTTGACTGCAAGTGGAGAATACTGCTCTCCATTCATTATTGTTGCACATACTGTCTTGAACATTGTATGACACATGCCAGGTACAGCAGCACTATCGGCTACCGAGAACAATGGGAGGATAACACACAGCGTGGCCAACATTAATGGACATTTACAAAGAATGACAGGCACAGTGACAATTACCTTCATCAACACACACTGTCATTCTGAAGCTGTGGAATGTATAATATAGTAATAGGGTAAATATGGGTTTTATCATATCTATCACTTTTTTTGACACTTTGTATCTCTCTTTCCATTCCAACTTTGAAACATGAAGAAGTGAAATGTGGAGGAAGAAACCTAGATAAAAATTTCTTTTAAGAGATGGACAACAGAGAATCTACCAGGATCCCGTGCCCTTCCTGAAGCATCAATGATCCAGAAGCCAGGTGTCTGGCTTTTCCAGGTCACATTCAGCCAGTCTTCCAGATACTACTAAAAGAGGAGACAGAAGCAAGAATCCTTGTTAATGGAGAAAAGTCTGGAAGGACAAACACATTTCTGACGTTATTTCCAGGCTAGAAATGAAAGAAAAGATGATACAGTATTAAGAGTTTCTTTATAAAACTTTGATTTATTTTGTTACATTAGACACATACCATTTTGGTAATAAAAACACTAATAAGGAACATGTTAAAGAGAATATTCGCATGTATTTAAGGCACAGTTAGTTGGGCATGTTAAAAAGAATTAGTAAACTGGAAGAGACTGACATTCCAAAGGCTAATTCCTCGTTAACAGCAGTTTTATGAGGTGGAGAGGTATCAGGGTAGCCTCAGTGTGTGGTGGTTATAGCATCTATAACAGTTATAACATTTCTTCTGGCCTAAGCCCCCATCTAGGGGACACCTCAGTGCACTCCCTGAGATTAAAAAAGTGCCTGGAGGTAGCAAGTACTCTAACTCATGAGGGGTCCTGCTTAATCAGGGCCATTTGCAGTCTTCTGTTCTAGGGTAAATATCACATGCATTACTGAAGAGTGGTGGAGGCTTCCTTACAGGGCAACACATCCTCTTCCTCTGAGAGCTCTTGCTCTGCTCCTCACCAGAAGATACTATTGCCACACTTTCCATTACTGTTTTACAGGCTTCCCACACTCCTGCTATGCAGAAGTGAGGGGTCTGCTCAGTGGACCAAACTGTAGCAAAGTTACTAGAACCTTCAGTGTTTCTCAGCTTCATCACTACACACTTTCTCAGCACAGCGATTCTTTGGGGCACAGCGTAGGACACTGGCAGCATCCCAGGCTGCTAGGCACTTGAGGCCAGGCTAGCAGTAGCACCTTCCAGGCTGCCTCCAAACACGCATGCCTCTGCCAACTATCCCAGGAGACAAACTCACTCCCAACTTGGGTACCATCACACCAGTGATGGAAAGGCAGTTTTAAAATGTAAACTGCATCATGCACTTTACTCCCTTGCATCAATTTTTTTTTTATGATCGCAGAATAAAATTCAAACTCTTTACTGTGATTTCCAATACTCTGTATAAACTGGCATCTTCCTCTTTTTTTTTTTTTTTTTTTTTTTTAATACTACACTCTCATATACTAACTGGTCTTTCTGTTCCATAAACATCTTCAGGTTGTTCCTACCGACCTTTTATGCTGGCTTTTCCTTCTGTCTAGAATCCAGTCTAGAATGCACTCTCCTTAGATCCTGGTATGGCTCACTGTTCACCCACACAATCTCAGATCAAAAGTTACACAATTAGGAAGGCTTCCCTGACCATATTCTCTAAAGAACCTCCCTGCTCTCTACCACAAGACACCCTTTCCTTCACAGGAGCACAAGAGAACAATGTCTTGCTTTCCCCTTTATTTCTGCCTCTTGGCTAGAGGAAGATCTTAGTCTTTTCCACTGTTATAGCTGACATGCTCTGACTAGTACCTAGCACACAGTAAGTACTCAGTACCCATCCTCGATCTACCTCAGGTCAGGTGTCAATCGCTTCCTTGTCCTTTCCTTTGCAAGGTTATTTTTTATTAACTGACTTGCCTTGCTTTTTTCTAACACCCCCTGACCTATTAAGAAAAAAAGTGTAGGTGGAGTACAGTGTATAAAAACTTAACGTAAGAAAGCCTATTATGAAATACAAATAAAGGCCAATTAATAATTCACGAAAGACAATTCCTTGCCCTGTAGGTTTCATGCACTATATAATCAAGCCAGTGGCCAAGAATTCGTGACAACTTTGGTCCCTCTTCACAAATTTCAAGTGGTCAAGGCATTCTAGAGGGACTTAAGACTACAAAAGTTACCTGTCATCCTAGACGGACCTAAGACTACAAAACTTACCTGGTGCAGAGACTCAAAGGGCCTCTTTGTCCATTGGCCAGGCATATACAGTACCACAAGTCCGAAACTCCTCCGTGCTGGCTTCAGGTTAAATAGTACACTGGGTCAATAGCAGGGTGGTCTAAGGTGCTGCAATGTCAATACATGTTGGCAGCGCCCAGAAACCACAGCCTGTTTCTTACATTGATTTATGGGCTGTTTCCATGAAACCAAAGATGCTTGGCTCTCGTGAAAGCTGGCTGGCTGGCGGGCAACTGGAAGCACTTCAGTCCTGGCTAAGGGCCATGGCCCTTGGGTAGCACTTCATCGGGCCATTTTGGCACTCTGGCGAGCAGCCTGCTTGTCCCGCCTGGCTGGGCTCTCTACCCTGTGCACAGTCGTCTCCACCCGCAGGGATGACGACGCCCTGACGTGGCTGGAAGACGTTTCCGTGCACTGCGAGGAGGTTTCCACGTGCTGGGAGGACACCTCGAGGAATCTAGGGAGTCGCTTCGCGGAGGGGGTGAGGGAGGGCCCCTCCCGGTGGCGCTGAGAGGTCTCCACCTGGCGGGAAGACGTTCGAACCTGCCGGGAGGACGTCTCCACGCGGTGGGATGATGTTTCCTCGCGGTGGGACGATGTCTCCACGCGGATAGTTGACGTCTCCTTGTGGCGGGTGCTTTCCACTCGCGGGGCGGAGGACTTGCTCCTAAGAGGCGAGGCCATCCTGCCAGGACACCCAGGTCAGGAGGGACAAAGAGGCTCAAGGGTCATGCTCTGCGTCACGTCACACAGGGAAAGGTGACGTCAGGGTGGTGTACTACGTCAGCGTAGGCTGCAGGACACATAAACTCTGCAATCAATGAGGTCCTCCAGCACGCCCCGCTCGTTCACTGCGCGCGCAGCCGGCCCAGGCCACACAGATAGGCGGGGCCTCTCGTCTCAGAATGAGGCTGTCTCCGCCCTCGTGTCCCACCCTGCCCCGCGACCGGAAATAAGAGCCGTGGCTTCCGGATCCTCCCTCACCATTCGAGCCTGCCGTTCGTTCGGGTTGGTTGTGTTTGCGTCTCTCTGCTTGTTATGGCCGCGGCCGTCGCTATGGAGACAGGTGCGTTGTGCCCTGCGCCCCGAGTCTTCACCGAGGGAACGGTTCTCCACCCCGACCTCCTCTCCCGTTTCCCTGAGCCGTCTTTCGGGCTTAGCTCGGCTTCCTTAGAGTTGGGACCGGAGCGGGAGAAAGTGGTGGTATCTGAGATTGTGGCCTGTGTGAACACCTTTGCTCCTGGGCTGCTCAAACCCCGACTCCCTGGTTCCTGGGCCGGAGCGGGGCGGTGGCTGAGGGAGGACTGAGCCCTTCAGCTGTCTGCTCTTTGGAACTTTTCCCGTGAACTTGCTTGAAATGTCGGGAACGTATCGTTCTGATGTGGATTACCGTCTTCCCTCCGCTGTTTAATCGTTTTGCACCCGGCTTCCTGTTTTCATATAGCACTTTGTTTTTGCTTAACGTAATCGCTGTTAGTAGTTATAACTGGTTAACAAAGGGACGGCACAGCTATCACAGACTATCCAGTGATCTCTGCTAACGTCCTTCCATAACGGCCTACAGGTGGTAAATATCCATTCCATTTATTTTCCTCAACCAATTTTAGAGAATTTACTGTTTTTGTTTTGTACTGGAGACAGGTTCCCATTATGTACTACTAGCTGTCCTGGAACTAGCAATGTACACCAGGCTGGCCTCGAATTCACAGAGATCCTCCTATCTCTGCCTCCCAAATGCTGGGATTAAAGGTGTGTGGCCACCACGCCCAACTTGTTTTGTTTTAAATCAGGCTCCACTCTTTGGTTTCTAAGGAAGTCTTACCTGCACTTTGATATTTTTTTCATAAATTCATTCATATGGGGATGGGCGGTCCATGCTGAGGTCAGAGGACAACTTGCAGGAGTCGGTTGTCTTCCTGCCAACCTTGTGGGTTCCAGGGACTGAAGAACTCAGGTCATCAGACTTTGCTGCAAGCACTTTTACCTGCTGAGCCGTCTCACTTTTATTTTTGCTTCTACAAATCAATATTCATATCGTGACTTTCATTTTGGGTGTTTTTTTCTCTTTTCTCCTAGATGATGCTGGAAATCGACTTCGGTTTCAGTTGGAGTTGGAATTTGTGCAATGTTTAGCCAACCCAAATTACCTTAATTGTAAGTCGAGTACATCATTAAGTTGAGTAGCTAGCTGTTAATGATTTCTGACAGGATGTAATTCATAAGAGTATTTACTTTGATATGTTTGAATGAGATTTTACTTGTGCTGGTCTGTAGGTATTAACTGAGCAAACAAGGACTTGTGTTTTTTAATTCCTTGTGTTTTGATGCTAGGGATGTTAAAAAAGAGTTACTTTATTAGAGATTACAAGTTGTAATCCAGCAATTGGTTGACATACAGATTGTTTCTTTATGCCTTTCAGTTCTTGCCCAGAGAGGTTACTTCAAAGACAAAGCTTTTGTTAATTATCTTAAGTACTTGCTTTACTGGAAAGAACCAGAATATGCCAAGTATCTAAAGTAAGTTTAATTTTTTTTAATCTTAAATCTGTGTATACTTTATTATAAATACAAAGTACTGATATTTAGCAGTTTTCTCAGTGTCAGAATGGAAAACTATGTTTTGAATCTTTCTGCTTTTAGTTAATGTAAGACACTGTCATCTCTAACTTGGATTATTACAATAATCTCATTTGTTTCTGCTATCGTTCTTATCTCACTCCCTTCAAACCAAATGAAGCCAAATAGCTGTCTGTGGAAGCCAACTTACTCTCTTGGTAATACAAATCAGAACATGCCACTTCCGTTCATGGAGATAAAATCCAGTTAACTGGTTTTAGTCTAAGGCTCTAATGTGCTTTGTTTTTTTCTAACCTTGTCATTTAACATTCCCCTTGTCTCTCTGGGTTTCTAATGCTTACCAACCCATAAGCTACTAAAATGCAGCGGCACACCCATAAGCTGAAATGAGCACATAGGAAGTGATTTTTCTGGGATCTCCGATGGCCCTTCTTTAGAGTGTCCTGTGTCAGGCACTATGATAAATGTATCGTGCACATTAACTCACTGCGGAAAAACAAACATGGACACTATCAAGTTGTTTGATAGACAATTTTATTATAGGATTTAGTAAATTGTAAGAAACATTACAATCATGTAACTATCCCTTTTAATGATAAAACCTTGAACTCATCTCTGCTTTATCTTAAAAAAGAAAAACAAGCTGATATACACGTTTAATCCCAACATTTGGAAGGCAGAGGTGGGAGAATCTCTTGAGTTCAAGGCCAGACTGGTCTCCAAAGCTGCTTCTAGGACAGCCAGGGCTACACAGGTAAACCCTGTCTTGAACTCACCCTCCCCTAAAGGGGTAGACCACAAAAAAACCCAGAAGTTTAGACTGATGCCCCTTTAATCCTAGCTCTCAGGAAGCAGAGGCAGGCAGACCTCTGTGAGTTCGAGAATAGCCTGGTTATGTAGCAAGTTTCAGGCCAATCAAGGCCACACAGACAGATCCTATCTTAAAAATTAGAGGAAAACATTTCAAACCTTTTCTTTAAATCCTAGTCACTTTTCTGAATTGATTCCTGGGCTCTCTGTAGAACTGATTGTAGTCTGATTGTGCTCTTCATGATGCAATTGTTGATTCCTAGAGGAATCCAAAGAAGAGACTTTAAGTTATTATTAGGAGATTATAATGTTAGTGCTAGCAGATTCCAGATTGGGTATTGAAAGCATTAGTCAACTTCAAGTTCAGTCTCACCAGCAGAGTTGTTGGACGGTGATTATCTATATTCTGTTGGAGGCTTCCAGTGAGCATATGTCACTCTATTAGAGGCAGCTTACTACTCCATTGATGGCCAGAGGTTAGGCAGCTCTTCCTTATATAGTGATCAGACAGACCTCCTTGTAGCTCTAACCTGTTTGTAGGGGTTTTTGTTTGTTTTTCTGTTAATCAATGTCCTCTTGGAGACAACAGCTATAGATGTTTAAATTCAAGAGAGGTTGTGAATTAACCTCTGTTGGGCAATTTGATTATATCTGCACATGGTTTTAAATTTTTAAATAGTTGCCAAAATTTAAAGATGGGAAAGCTTTATGTAACAGAATTCCAACTCTTGGAACTTGGGAAGAGCTGTCCTTCTTTTTCCCAGTCAGAGGCTGGTTGCAGCTGAGGAAAGCTGTCTCCTCCAGACTTCCCAGCATGTGGCCTGCTTACTGATAGCTAGTGTGTTAGCAGCAGAATTTCTCTTAAACATCTGTCTTTAGGTGCCTTCAGTCAGTGTTTTAGTTCCATAGTTTCCAGAGTTCTCAGGAACCTTAGATTATCTGCCAATTCAACAAAAACACTAGACACAGGCCAGGCAAAATGGTTACACTAATGCACAAGGAAGAAGTAGAGGGAAATCTCTTGAGTTTGAGGCTAACCTGGGTTATATAGTGAGACCCTGGCTCAAAATAAAATAATTTGGGGATGGTGGTGGCTAGAGAGATGGCTTAGTGCTTCAGAGCACTTCTGCTCTTATAGAGGACCCAGGTTTGGTTCTCAGCACCCAATGGCAGGTCACATCCATCCAAAATTCCACTTTCATAAATTCTGATGCCTTTTGGCTCTGAAAACACTGTATATACATGATACATAGACACAAGCACCAAAATGCCCATGCATATAAAATAAAAATAATAAAATTTAAAAAACAAACTAAACATAGGCCTTCAAATGTGGTCAGGATACCTCAGACCACATGGCATTTCTCTTCCTTGTGATAATTCAACATAGATTGATTATACTTTTTTTGAGTGGAAGAGGTTTGGGAGTCAAATTGTTGACTTCCTGGAAGCTTTATACCAACTAAAATCCACCAGTTATTTCCATGAATTGAATTCTGTTACTTGACTTCTCTGTTTATGTCTTGTTTATTTTTTAAAAATCAAATTGTATTTCCATTTGTACCTCTTCTATTTCATCCTGTAGACCTGGAGTTAGTGTGTTGTAGCCTTTTAGAATATGTGGAATTCCTTACTCTGTAGCCTATTGTATTAAGAACATTATTTTCAGCTGGGTGGTGGTGGTGGCGGCGGCGGCGAGGCAGAGGCAGGTGGATCTCTGTGAATTTGAGGCCAGCCTAGGCTACAGAGTGAGTTCTAGGAAAGGCACCAAAGCTACACAGAGAAACCCTGTCTCAAAAAACAAAACAAAACAAAACAAAACAAAACAAAAAAAACAACAAAACATTATTTCTACAAAATTGATAAGGAAATGATAACTGCCTAGATTCCAGTTACTAAGTGCTACTTAACACCATTCTCTTGCTGGTCACATTATTTTGCACACAAAGAAACTGAACTTAAGAAATTTAAACACTGTCTTTAAAGCCACTACCTGATACTCAGAGCTGAATCTTTTAAATTACTGATATGCCATGAAATGGAATTAGCAAGTATAGTGGGAATAGAACATTCTGAGCTAAGCGATTACGATTACAGACAGCTCTTTATTTGGAATATAAATAATAAGGCTTTACTGGAAGGGAAGCATAGCATTGGTTCTGCAGTGGCAGACACAGCTATCCCTACCCTCCACCCCTGTGTAGGCCTCCGCCCCCAAGCCCCCTTCTCATTTTCTTACTATCCTTTTAAAAGCTCCAGGACAAAATTATTAGCATTTACAAGAAAAATACCCCAGGGCAAGCAAGCTGTAAAATCTCAACAGCTGCCCAAAGGAGGAGAATGGAAGGGAGAAGGAACAAAAGCTTTGCCCCTCTGGAGTTAAGCTGACATGGAGGGCTGTCAATAAGACTGGGGGAAGGAAGGCAAAGAAAAAGTATGGCAGCCCAAAGTGTTGTGGAAGGTATGCTTAGAAGAAAGAGTCTCTTGACTTTTCTGAGCAATCCCAAAAGGCAGGCAAAAGCTGCACCTGAATGAGACTGCCAGGATCTTCATTTTGATAGAACATTAATATTCATCTACTCTATAGTCTGTAGACCCCATTAGCTTCTGTCTGTTGTCCTGCTGGTGTCCTGGATCTAGTGTGGCCTCCAGTCTAGGCTTGTATGCTACATTCTGTCTTCCTCTTTTCTTAGTCTTGAGTTCCTTGGTGTTCTCTCTGCCTCCTTATTCTACTTCCCACTTCCTCTCTCACTCAAACTCTGTTTCTCTCACTTGGGCTAAACACTGACTTGCTACTTTGTTACTTTCCTTCTTGGTTTGTTATAATCCAGAGTCAGGTGAAATCTGTTTGTCCCATTAGTGATGATAATTTTGATCCATTGTGTTAGGTGGTGCCTTCCGGATTTCCCCACATCAAATTACTGTTTTTTCTTTTGTATTTAATAAGTAACTTGTGGGGAATATAGTTGAGACTATATATAGACTATATATGTAACATCTTGTTACATAAATTTCATCCCCTAATTTTAGCTCTTTTTTTTGGAGACAGGGTTTCTCTGTGTAACAGCTATGTCTGTCTATCCTGGAACTCACTCTGTAGACCAGGCTGGCCTCAAACTCACAGAGATCCTCCTGCCTCTGCTTCCTGAGTGCTGGGATTAAAGGCATACACCACCACCACCACCACCACCACCACCCAGCAATTTTACCATTTTTTTAAAAAGATTTATTTATTTATTATGTATACAATATTCTGTCTGCATATATTCCTACACCCCAGAAGAGGGCACCAGATCTCATTACAGATGGTTGTGAGCCACCATGTGGTTGCTGGGAATTGAACTCAGGACCTCTGGAAGAGCTGCCAGTGTTCTTAACCTCTGAGCCATCTCTCCAGCCCCCAATTTTAGCATTTTTTAATCAAGTAATATTTTAGGTTAACTTATAAAGTGATGGGTTCATCATGACACATTCATATATGTGTCATTATACTTTACTATCATTTGTTTTCTTCTCCCTAATTTTAGCATTATTGCAGATACTTGCCTCAGTTTTTATTATGGAATTTTCTAATTCTATCATTCTATATTTATTAGTCAGATTTCTGTAGCAAGAAAAATTATTCCCTTGTTATTTACTCATTCAAACATGTATATCAGTATTAACTTGTGGATTCTTGTCTTTATCCAATGATTACAGTTATTTTTCTTGGCTCTAATTATTGCAGCAGAATTGGCTGCTGTGGAATACCTTTAGATTGGCTGTTGTGTACTTCTGACATATCTCTATTCATGTTTAGCACTTCTTTTTAACATGTTGTATCCTGCATTCATGTTATACTTTGTCTGTCCTAGTCTTGAAATTAGTTGTTTCAAGGAACTCTGGAAAATGCTATTTGAGAACGAAGCTCTAGAGACTTAAGTGTGCTCATTGATATTACAGTGTTTTTGTTTCTAGGCCCTTGTGCATACAAAGCTAGAATTGGTATGTATGTAGATGTTTCTATATGCACACATATCTATGTCTATTTTTTTTGTGTCTGTGTTAATTGACATGAAGATGGAGCTTGAGAGATGGGTCATAGGTTAAAATCACTGGCTTCCAAAGGACCCAGGTTTAATATTCAGCACCCACATGGCTGCTTACAACCATCAGTAACTTCAGTTCTAGGGGATCCAGTGCCCTTTTCTGACCTCCATGGACACTGCATACCTGTGATGCATAGAATTACATGCAGGCAAAACACCCATAAACATAAAATTTTTTAAAAAGGCTATGAGGACATACTGTTGTAGTTCTAGCTCAGTGACACAGCACGTGTCCTACCTGCCCTTTCCCCTCTCCTCATCCTTTTTTGGTCATCAAATATTTGGCTTCTTTTTACCCTAGTGTACTTGTCTTCGCTCAGTCCTAGACTATACATGATTTCTTGTTATAGTCCCCATGGATAATTAGAGCACAACATTTGTTCATGGTTTATTTTGGAGGAGGGATCTTGCAGTGCAACCCTACATGGCCATTAAATTAAGTCTACTTTTCTTAAGTTTCTTGAGTACTGGGAGTACAGATGTGTGCCTAGCAATGTATATGATTCTTGTGGAGTTAGTTGATTCACTTAAATAAAGGTTACCCTTTTATGACTCCTGATGGAAAACCAGTATTTATTAAACATAACTATTTTCAAAGTCTTCAGAGCCAGTGAGATAGCTCAGTGGGTAAAGGTGACCCGAGTTTGATCCCTAGGACTCCATAGTGACCTCCACAGGTATCCCATGGCATGTGCTTACTCTCCTCTCACACAGATGCTAAATAATAAATGCAATAAAACGTTTTTAAATTAAAAAGTGTTCATGTTCCTCACTTGGAAAACTAGAAGAGTATGGTTATCTACCGATTTTACTGGTTTGTGTGGTCTTGGGCAAGTTACTTAAGGTTTCTGAACTTTAATTTTGCATAATGTTCTGAAATAACATGGTGGGAGTGACATTACCAAATAGGTACTTTGTTAATAGAGCTGTTAGGCTCAAGATTATTTTTAGGGGAGTATCTGAATTAGAACTTGGGATGCCTTAAATTATGTTGACAATTAACTTATGAACTTAAACCCAGGTACCCTCAGTGTTTACACATGTTAGAACTGCTCCAATATGAACACTTTCGAAAGGAGCTGGTGAATGCTCAGTGTGCGAAATTCATTGACGAACAGCAGATTCTGCACTGGCAGCACTACTCCCGGAAGCGGATGCGCCTTCAGCAAGCCCTGGCAGAGCAGCAACAGCAGAACAACACAGCAGGAAAATGAAGAGCTGGAGACAGACCGGCTCTAAGGACATGTATATAATGTATCGCTGTTGTACAGCACCGATAAAAGAAGACTCTTTCTGATCACCGTTATTATGGTAGCACTCAGAACCATTAGTGTTATTTTTGGTCAGCAAACTTTATATTGTTAATAGATTATTTCTGTTAAATCAGAATTGTTCTACTTTGATTTCTCTGGGGATTTGTAAATTTCAGTTGCATTGAAGAGAACCAAGTGAATAAGAATGTAAATGTTGGGTGTTGTAGAGCAGTTTAAGAACATGGGTATGACATACAGTGGTACCCTGAGCCAGATCATCTCTAGGAACCTTACTGACATCAGCTGATCCACCTCCACCCCACCCTGTCTTCAAGAGAGAGGACTGGAGTCAAGGAGCTCTAACTGCAGAACAAGAACTACAGGAAGGTTCCCTCTTTCTGCAGGAGAGGACATACTCAGTTGCTCCCTGCTTTGTAAGATAGCTGACCTCTAGTAGTGGCTTGGACAGACTGGTAGTTAATGACTAATTGGATTCTTGTCCTTAAGGTGAGCCTCAAATACCTTTCTTTGGGAAAGTTAGCATTTACTTGACAAGTGCTACAAGTAGGCACTTTCTTAAATGCTTCTTTTAATCTGTTTCAAAAAGATTTTTATTTGTCTGAATTGCTTGCATATATGTGCACCATGTGCCTGATGCCCAAGGAGGCCAGTAGAAGAGAACATTAGATCCCCTGGTATGGAGTTGAAGGTGGTTGTAAGTCAGCATGTAGTGCTAGGAACCTGGGTCCTCTGCAAGAGCAGCAAGTACTGTTAACCACTTATTTTTTTCTCTATTTTTTTGAGGTAGGGTCTCACTTTGTAGCTCAGGCTGCCTTGGAATTTTCTACCCCAATCTCCTGAGTGCTGGGCTTAAAGATAGCTACTAGGCCTGCTCACATGCTGCTTTTTTAAAAAATTATTTTATGTGTGTGAATGTTTGGCCTACACAATGTATATCTGTACCACCTGCATGCCTGGTGCTTTCAGAAGCCAGAAGAGAGCATCAGATAACCTGGACGGAAGTTATAGACAGTTTTGAGCTGCCATGTGGGTTCTGGGAATCCCATGTCCTTTAGGAGAGTAGCCAGTGCACTTAACCACTGAACCCCCTCTTCAGTCCACATTCTTGTTTTATTTGTAGTACAAGAGTTGGGCTTTTCATTTGCGACAAGGTCTGGTCCTGTAGTCCACCCTGGCTTCAAACTTGATTCTCTTGTCTAAGCCTCTAAAGTGATAAGATTACAGGTGTGCATCACTATGCCTGACACAATTGTTTTTTGAAGTAATTGAGATTTAGACAGTAACTTGCCTGTGGCTAGGAGAACCAGCCTGTCTTCAAGAGAATCACATTTTAGACAGTTGTAGTTATGAAACAAATGATACATTCCATGTGTCTTCCCTAAATGGTTTGGGAAGTTCTACATTTCAAAGGCAGAAAAGGGTTTTGCAAATTTAAGGTAATAGATCCTAATAGATGCAGATTTGAAAGTCTATCTTCAATATTTCTTCTGAGCTACTACTGCCATACTGAAGACCTATTTTACTCAAATCTTTTAGATAGCCATGTATTACAAAGCTATTTGGAGGTTTGTATTTTAATTCTTTATTGTTTAGACATACACTGATCGATTCAAAGCAAGTATGTGGCTTCTTTAAGCAAACCAGGAAATCAAGACACAATTGTGATCATCAAATCTTTTTTTCCCCCAAGACTATGTAGCTCTGGCTGTCCTGGAACTAGCTCTGTAGACCAGGCTGGCCTTGAACTCACAGATTTGACCGCCTCTGCCTCCCAAGTGCTGGGATCAAAATCGTGCTCTACTACCACCCAGTGCTATCATCAAATCTTAATCTTCAGAGAATATCATTTCCACGAGGTTGGCCTGAAGGCACTCAGATTCCACAAGTTTTTGAGGCTGTAAAAAAAAGAAGGTTAAGTTTTAACCACTGCTATGAAATGTTACTAGGGGTAGAGTGAATTCTACATTCAAAGTAGACATTTTTGAACATAGAAATGTTGCCATCAGAAACTGTCAGCTAGCCAGGTCTGGTGGTGTATGCCTTTAATCCCAGCACTCCAGAGGCCAGCCTGGTCTACAGATCGAGTTTCAAGTTCCAGGATATCCAGGGCTACACAAACCTTTTATCAAAAAGAAACAACAACAAAACCTAAAGAAAGAAACTATCAGCTAGTTATAACAAGCTTTATGAAGTAGTTAAGATACTTAAGATGAATCATTAAAATACTTGGCCTGAAGGGCCATACCAGGCCCCATACCAGGAAGCTCCATAGACTGAAAACAAGAGACGGCAAGTCCAGTGCTTGCCATCTCTTTCCCTCGACTCTTTAATTTAGGATTCTAGGGGCAGGGCTGAAATAAAGGGAGAGCCTTTTTAAACCTGAAAAACGGAGTTAGAAAACAGTGACACAAGCTTTCAGGAATGAGTCAACTTCTGAACACACAATCTTCACAGTGGCTGAAAACACTCCCCAAACATTCTGCTGCATTAGAAGTTCATTGGGATTTGGCAGAGGAATGGACACCAACTTGTGTTTCTGATTCACTCTGACAGCAATGTGATGTTGGAAATTAAATGCGAAGATCTTTTAACAACTTGAGTTTTAACTACATTATAGCCACAACATAAAGGTAGATACTCACCGTTCCATATTTAAGTAATGTAGGCACTGCAGTTAATTTCAGTTTTTGTCTGAAGTCATTACTTGGGTCTTTCCAGCTATTCCAAAAGGAAAAGGATCATGAAAAATACTACTATATTACAGTTTACTCAGCAGTAGAGCTATATTTAGTATATTAGTAATCATTGCTTTTGTTAACATTTAAACATTTTGAGGATTTAACTTATGTAATCACCCTCTACAAAGTTTACATTTGAAATGTGGTTAAGATTTAAAATATAAATGTAAGGTCAATAGCATTCTGAACTTATTCCACACCAAATTCATTGATACTATGTGACAGAACATTAACGCCAAATTTGGATTCAATAATTCCAATTGCTTGGCTTATCAGACATTACCTAAAACACACAGCCTGAGCAAATCTGAGGTCCTTTCCACCCAAGTTTTTAAGAACCTAGTCCATGTCTGGAGATATGGTATACATGACCACTTACTAAGGTCTGTCTCCTACTTGGCAGTAGATGAACACACAGTCTTCAGTAACATGCTTCAGTCCTTCTCGAACGACTGGCTCAGCTTTTTAAAAAAGTTAAAGTGATTACACATCCAACTGTGATAGCCCGCGCCCTGCCCCCACAACCCCTCCCCTCTCCCCAGTCTTAGTAGACTTTAACCTGCGGTAAGAATGAGGATGTTGGCCGGGCGGTGGTGGCGCACGCCTTTAATCCCAGCACTCGGGAGGCAGAGGCAGGCGGATCGCTGTGAGTTCGAGGCCAGCCTGGGCTACCAAGTGAGCTCCAGGAAAGGCGCAAAACTACGCAGAGAAACCCTGTCTCGAAAAAACAAAA